GTGTATCGCTGCCCCAGTACAGAGGAGCAGGTGTCCTTGCTTTGGCCAGGAGTCTCCATGTGGATTTTGTAGTTTCATGTTCCAGCCTCCAGGCAAAGAAAGGCTCTGGATAAATTCATACGGCACCCTGACACTGGTGTCAAACCTTGCACCGCTGGACAGCATCTGCATTGATTTCGCCTCCCCAGCCTCAGTCGCGACGATGATTGCGGCGGGGCCGACCATCCGGCGGCATGTTTCCTTTCGTCCTAAGATGCATAGTTCAACCACTGTGCTGAAACTGTCGTTGGATGAATTTGACACGTCCCGAATCAACGCAAGAAAACAAGCCCTGCTGTGTGGGACCGTGCGAGTAGTTTGGCCTTCGCAATAAAATTCGGTGCGGGCCATTGCGCAAAGCGTGCGTTGCCTTAAACAGGACTCTCGGGCAGCTTTCGTCCTGAAGATCAGGGCCGCTTGCCTGGCTGAGGGGTTGGGGATCAGCAGCTGTTTCAGGTTTAGGATTTGGGATGGGCACTTTTGGGTAGATTTTTTTCGATTTGTGGCAGACGGTTTCAGATTGTTTCGTGCCTCCCCGAAACCCAGGAGGTCCTCGCGCCGTACCTGGAAGTGAAGGCAGCGGGGGCTCTGGCGACACGCTTGCGGGAGAGCCGACCCCCGAAGGCCCTCCCCGAAGTGCATTTGCTCTCAAGAATTCGGGAATGTCAGGACTGAGATGATCCTTATGAGCAATCAGGCAATCAGGTATTTCAATTTTCTGAAAGTGCTACCGAGTCGGGGGTCCTCGTGATCCGGCCGGGTGGGGCGTGCACAGGGGTTTGCTGGGTGCCTTGAAGGGGGAGCTGCATGCGTACGTTTTGGTGTAACATCTGCTGCAGCAGAGCTTGCAACGTGCGGAGCATATTCCAGGCCATGGCTCAAAACTTTGGACCATGCTCTACCGCGAATCCGTCTCCTCCAAGCGCGAAGCTCTTCAACCCAACTCACCCACAGCACCGGCAAAACCCAACCAACCTTTTCAGATCCTCGGAGGCAGCGCCGGTGACCAAAGCTCGCTTGGCAGAGGCTTCTGCTCCGGCGGCTGCGACGGCAGCTGCCCCGCCGCCGACGTCGAAGAAGAAACCAAGGGGAAGGGCGAAGTAGGGCGTGGCTCTACGGTTCAGGGTAGCCCCAAGTAAGGGCTTTACACGGTGCAAAGGGTAGCCCTAACATGCCCATGTAGACCTTGGACATTTTTCTGGGTGTTCGCCCGAAGCGATAAGCCGTGCATTGCTTTTCCCGACCTGTGGGATTCGAAGGTTTCTGGGCTCAGAGCCGAGGCCTAGCCCGATGTACAGTATACAGAGAGCCGGGCCTTCAAAAACGATTTCCCCGCGGGAACGGAGAAAGGAGCATCTCCTACTCTAGGCTTGCGGCTTACTGTGTTGGGGTGCAGGTTTCGAGTTTGTCGGGCTTCTTGTGAGGTCTTTAGGAATCGAAGGGTTTTCTCCTGAAGCCGTGAAGTAGTTTAGGGTTTCAGGGCAGACACCTCCCGTATGCTGAGACATTCAGGCGATTGCACAAGCCCTGATCAAAAAAGGGCAGGCGAGACAGGCCTGTATTGAGGATACCATTCGTATTGAAGGTGGAGGTGGCACCGAAATAGGAGGAAGAGGAAGCAACAGCATGTGAAGTGGTATCACTAGTAATTATTAGCTGCATGTCTGCCAGGGCGACGGAGCCATAAGAGGATGTGGGTTTTGGCTTTCAAGATTTCTTGAGGCTGGCGATGGAGTGCTTTGTGGACACCTTTTTTCCTGTGGAATTTAGAGCCTCAGCCCTAGAGAGAGCCCAGCATATCCCAACCAACATACTTAAAACCGCTGCACGTGCGGTTTGCTGATGGTGCTTTCCAAGGACCTCGAGGATCTTCGCCTCAGCTGCAGCCTCAGCATGCAGGGACTGGAGGCAAGATCCCCCTCCGTAGGGCTTCGGGGAGAAGGGTAAATGCCATTCCCGGTGTTGTAGAAGTAGTGGCCACGGAATTTGAATTGAAGGAGCAGTCGTGCTGCAGGTTCAGGGCCCGTGCTGAGTGCTTGTGACTGGGTTGCACATCGAATGAATGGTTTTGATGGGACTGATATGGACTGATCATAGGCCACAGGTCATCGGTTGTGGGGAAAAAACTGCATACCCGCTACACCTGTCTGGCTGGTTGGCTGTCTGTGCTAGTACAGGGTGCAAGGTTGGGGTTGGAGCGTGCCAAGCGCATGGAAACCCGAAGCATCGATGCCTCCACACCCAAAAACACGTCAACCCAAAACCACGTCAACCCAAAACGAATGCTTGGCCTTTGTATCGTTACATGAACCCTGCCTCTTGCTTTCTCAGCACACATGTTCAGTTCAAGTGGGATGACTTCGCATCTGTTACATCTCACCTCCAATCGACCACGCACCAAGAACCTCGCCTGGCGTTGGCGCCGAAACCCTGAAAGCCCTACACCCTGCAGGACAAGAGTCATAAACAGAGACCTAAGTCCGAGCTACCGGCCGCCTCTTCTTAGGGCTCGGCAGGATTTCGAGGCAGGGTGGTCGGTGTAGGGCCGAGGACTTGGGGGCTCCAGCCCCTGTAGAAGCCCATCAGAGTCATCAGAGCCAGCAGATTTCCGAAGCTTTGAGAGAGACACAGGCCCTCATAGAACCCTCACGGAACCCCTGCAGAAGCCCCGCCAACTGTGACATCTTCCAGGTTTTGGTTGTTAATCTTGTAGTCTGCGCATGAGGACTAGGAGCCGTGAAGTCATTGAGCCAAGCCAGATTACTTTGCTGAGTGAAGTGGTTCCATTGCATCTGCGAGCCATGTTGGTGTGTTGCTACAACCTTTCGGACCTCTCGGGCGTCGAGATCCAGGCCGCTGGCTCGGTACATGGGGTTTTCTTTGGGAGCAGGGCCTTACCAGGGCGACCGAAAGCAGAGATGCTTTGTTTGCCTTCTCATCAGAAAGCGTGTTTTAGAATGAACACTCCTGTGAACACTGATGTGTTTTAACCCGTATGTTCCTAATTGAGCCCCGTGGCAGAAGAAGAGTTCTTTTGGGGAGCCCATATCCCAAGCAAGCAAGCAAGCAAGCCAGAGAACTCAGCGACTGCCTGCAGTGAGGTTGTACCTTGTTGCTCTAGTGTTTTGTGCTTCAGGGGTGAGCAGGCTTGGGCAAGTTGTTTTCACTCTGCTTGTGCGCCTTAACGGGGCGGACCTGACATGTCCCCGCAAGGGGAGGCAGCTCCTTCGCCCTCGATCTGTGGAAAGAAAGAGAAAAGGCAGCAACAAGAGCCAGAGAGAAGGGAAGGAGTAATGGACAGAGGGAGGGATGGCGGGAGCAGAGGGAGCGAGAGAGCCAGGGAGGAGAGAAGTCCGTTTGTGGTTCGAACACCAGTACGACATTACCACATGATGTGAGCGTGAAAGTTGCAGCCGGAGCCTGAGCCTGAAAAAAAAAACGAGGAGCGAAAGATGTTGTACGAGCCTGCAAAGACCACAGGAGGGACAGGAGGGTCGGCACGAAGCGACGATACCCATATCCGAAGCTGAAAGATTCCCTTCGCTCTGAGCGTCCTGCAGGCCTACAGCCAGATAGAGTTGAGCGATGAGGCATCGCTTGAGGTTTGGGCTTACCGACAGAACTTGAAGCTTGTGCGAGTGAAACCAACACAGCCATAGATCCTGACATCCCAAAGGTTACCTACACTAGTTCCATGCCGTCAAGCCAGGCTTGTCCAACGGAATCATGGGAGTCTGATGCCCAAGCCCTCAAATACGAAAAAAAGATGTCGATGAGTTGTCCGAAGCCACGCATGGGGGGGCTGTGGTTGCAGCTGTAGGAATGTTCATGAGTCTTTGTGCTCGTTCTACGTCGAGGCGTCTCATGATTTGGTCGTCTTGCCCTTGCTGTAGACATGTGTTTTCCGTTGCCGCCATTCTCGCTTTTGTCATTCTTACGGTTCTGGCCAAAGCCACCGCCACATCTACCATGCTTCATCTGGGGAGGCCGTCGTGGAGACGAAGGACGGGACTTCCATCCGAGCTTTCTTTTGACGCGGGAGTTGCATAGCGAGTGCAGCATAGCAAGAGGGCCATTGTCCAAGTTCGTACCTATGACTAGGAGGATGGACGATAGTATGCGGAAGCAGCCATATACCAGAAGCTTGCTTGACCAAGCTTACACCCGGACAAGTTGGCCTCTGGACTGGGTCCGCCGGTTTTTGCCAGGCCCAAACATGAACATGTTACAGGTAGGAACCGTATGCCCCCCCTCTCTGAGCTCTCCGAACATCGAAACTCGAGGCCTCCTCCACCCCGTCTGGAGACCTCTTCAAGTGTCAGAAGATCCATCACCTCAAATCCTCAATGCGCGGAGCGGAGCCGACAAGTAGGCGGAGTTGTATGTTTCGCTTCGCAGGGCCTCGGTCGTGTGAGTTTGAGGATTGGGGGACCTTGGGAGTTTGCAGGGCACGACAGAGTACATAAACAAAAAATATATAGATCATAGAAAGGGAATTACGTCAATTTTCTCGAATTCATCTCCAAATGCAAGCAGCCAAACCTTCACCAGTCACCCCTATGCTCGAAAATTCGAGCATAAGAACACACCAGAAACCACAACTGAATAGCCCCAGGCCCCAGACTCTCGACACCAAGACCCTCAACTCCAATCTCCCTATCCCGCAAACCCTTGTTGGGAACTTCGCCGCGCCATGGCGGCAACACCCGCCGGGGAGGTCGCGGAGGTGCAGTGGGCGTGGCTGATGGACTCAGGGTTTGTGGTTTTGGGCTTTGGGACAGCTGCTGGATGATGGGGCAGTCAGACATACGGCTCCCCATGATCAATTGTCATGGTTCGGGCTTGGAGTAGCTTGGGGTATTGGAGAGTTGCACGCTCAGGTGTTCATAGAGAAGTAGTGGGGATTTTGACCCGAGACCTCGGTGCTTCCTCAACCCGCAAAACCTTTATAGACTAAACCCGAGGCCCCAAGCCCTGCACCCTACGTAAACCCTCAGCATGTTCTCTCGACAAGTGAGGGTGTGCTCGGTTCTGCCAGCATGGCGACGTTAACAAAGCCAGCCCTAAACCAAAAACCGAGTGTGAGCGCCGAGACCACCATGCTCCCTTCATCGCCGCCAAAGATGCCCTCAGAGTAGCATTTGATACCTCATAGGATCAAAACAACTCCCAAAAACCCTGCAGGCCCTGGAGTATAAGCCCTGGCCGTTTAGCAACTTCAAAAATCGTACCCCAAAAAGCCTTGCTTCTCCTGGGAGCTCCGGAGGCCATCCGCCGCGCGCTGCGGCCCAAAGCATCGGCCTTTGAGCGGTTGGGCCGCGTGGCGGAGCTTGGAAAGCTGTTGGGGCCTAGGAACAGGGGTAGTTTTTCTAAATTAGGTCGATTTTGGGGTTCCTTTTATAAGGGTGCCGTACTATATTAGGGACCTAAGAGGGGACCCTGATTTAGAGAACTACCCACAGGTCTCCTCAGGAGGAACACTGTAGGGTTTCTTCAACGGGTTTAGGTTTACATGGGGTTAGGACTAGGAGGCAGCCAGCAAAGCCCAGTTTCAAACAGGGAGGAAGAAGAGGGTTCCATGGGGGTTTAGGGCTAGGAGTTTAAAATGGCTTAGGGCTTTCCAGCTTGCCGGCACACGCCCAAAGCCCTTGCTGAAAAAAAAGACCCGAGGGATAATAGAGGGGCCTTAATAATGACAAGAGGGTTTGGGTGTATATTATACTATACTCAGTATGAGGAGCCCCCAAAACCCAGTTCTAATTATCAAGGCCCCTACATTCGGGTTCGTTCCGTTCAGGGTTCAAACCAAGGATCCCGGACGGGTTGTTTCGGGTATTGCAACATAGGGGCCAGAGCCCCGGAAATATCACAACGGATTTATCAAGTAACAAAAATCAAACAGGAAGTGCAGGAACGCACACAATCACAAACTACACGAGTACGTTTTCTGGCATGGGGAGCTTGGCTTTGGCCGGGCAGTTTTTCCTGGAAAACCGAACGAAAAACCAAACGACCAACGGACCCAGCAACATGCGCGTCTCCGGCACGTCTTTTTGTTTGTTCGTGTGTTGGTTGTTTGCTTCTATTTTTCGCTCGTACCCAAAAACCTAGGCCCAAACATAATCCTAGAGAGGCAAGTAAAACACAGTCCTAGACAGGGGAGGCAAATACAGACAACCGTCGACCCTGATCTAACATGCATACGAGCTAGGAGGACCCCTTTTCTTGAGGTATCCCCAACCTAAAACCCTAAACCTAAGCCCTAAACCGATGACCCCCGTAGAGCTGACAGTCTGGACTGAGCAGGCCTCCCGGCTGCGGTCTGCGAGGTGTCGGGGTTTAGGGTTGGGGGTTTTAGAGGTTTGGGGCTTTACAGGGGTATAGTGTGAGTTAAGGGTTGCCGGTGATTTGGGGTGGTTTAGGGGTTTGGCCGGGGTTTGGCGTTTGGGGCCGGTGGTAAATGTGTGCTTAGGGCGTTTTGGGGAACTGGTTGGTCGCGAGCTCCGCTCACGTCTGAATTCAAGGTGACTCCCCTCAGCGACCAAAATAGTTGTGAATGCACAAGCTGGACCCGTGCTTCAGGCGGTTGTCGTCCGCAGAGCCTACCGCACAGCCGCGCTGCTCATTCACCCTGTGGCTTTGCTGAATTCGAACCCTTAGCCAAAATATCAGAGAGGCAATCAGGAAAATGATGTCATGCCATTGCTGGAAGATTTTTGTTTCTGCTGAGGAAGTAGATCCCGGATTGCGTGCAAACGCCCTTGACCACCTCATTTGGACGTGCACCAGCAAAGGACAAGTGCACACACCCAGATGCAAAGCTGGCCTTTCAAAGGCTCTCTGAGGCGGCGCGTCCTGTGGCTAAGCCAAAGACATAGATCGGTCCTACTTGATCAGTGCTCGCATTATGATTGGAAGTCTTGTTCTGCCTCGCTTGTGACTTCATTTGGAGTTGGTATCGCCGCGCAAGGTTGCCGCAGACTGTCAGAAAACAGTTGTTCTCAAAAAGTTGTTCTCAGAACCAACCGAGAATGCCCAAGTACGATCACGAACCTCCGCGCGGCTTGTTGAGCTTGTGCATTCTCTGTCGAGTTGGAACTTGTGTCGTACGTGCCACATGCCTTCGGTTTCTCCCTCTGAGTGTCATACATGTTGCAGGCCAATCGGTTCATTAATGTTGGGATGTCCTACTTCGAGTTGGGTGATGGACACTGTGTGCCCATTCCTTCCGGCGGACACGAATGCCTTGGAGGCCTTCGACTCCCTCAGCGGGCCAGATGGACAGCAAGAGCAGCTGGACCGATTCTGCGGTTTGGAGGCTCCAGGCAGAACAGTCCGACCCCCTAGTATCGCCACATATACAGTTGAATCAGTTGAAGATGTACTACCATGGGCAGTGAATCATCAACAACCAGTACAGATATCTATATTGTTCACACCTTATATGTATAATTGTGAAGCCTGACAGCGAAATTTGCAGGACCGGTCCCGGTCACGAGGGGGCCGAAGAGACTGGCCAGGCACAAGAAGCTTCTGGTTTTTGATAGAATGGCTCTGATGGTTCTATAAGAAGTTTTCAGGGTTCCGGGACCACTTGAAGATTCTTGGGCAGTTACAGGCAATTTCACTGCGTCAATCTTGGGCTTGCTAAACCCAATTCAAGCATGTATAGCACACTGTGACAAGGACCCGTGAGCTTCCCGAGATGCTCAGTGAGATTTCGGGAGGTTCGAGGTTGGTCAGGAGGGTCGTTCATCCCTCCCAGGCTCAGCTTGGGGGAAGGATGACTCGGCTTCAATCAGAGCTCCAGGCCCCATGGAAGCCCCAAGGCCTGAGCCTTAAATCCCGCAGCCAGGATGCCTGGGAAAGCTTTCAACCCCACGTCGAATCATGTCCCAAACCCAGAAACGTAAATGCCACCTGAGTTGTGAGTAGTGCGGCTTCGGAGCCTCGCCTGGTCATGGAAAGGGTTTCTGGGCCGGCATGGTCGAAGTCAGGCCCAGCGGAGACCTCTGAAGGAGCTACCCCGCATTCGCCACAATCTGGTATCTCTTATTGAGGAAACTTGTTGTGAGTTCGATTCATGGAATGCTCCTTCATCAAGGGCCACAGTAGCCCCTGGCTACTCCTCCAAACCAGGGCCTCCCTACCAGCGTGGTGGGGGCTACGACCGTCCAGACAAGCCTGCCCCTCCAGGCTTTGCTTGGGAAGCGCTTGTGGGTTGTTTAGGTTTCGTTGGGTTTGGGGCTTTGCCGGGCAATTCCCGTCAACTGGGGGTTTAGTGCTCTTGGGGTGCCTCGGCCTACTGAGCGATGGCACAGAGACGGGGCGATCCCGGGCCCTAAAAGTCATGTAGCTAAAAACTCCACACCTACTTTCTGGGCAATCAGAAAAGAGGCCCTGAAACAGGACTAAGCCCCTAAACCCTGAAATCTAAATCCCCTGCAATGCGGGCTCGTCCTAGCTAGGTGGGAGGCAAACAAAACCCCGAGCCCTGAAGCGCTAAAGTCCTAAACTCCTGTGATGTTATAGTATGTTATAGTATGTGGTAGTATATTATAGTATGTTCTAGTATATTATACTACGGTCGGGCATTGGCAGGTTGCTGGGCCGAACCCTTCGGCGAGCAGGGCTGCGGCCGCGAGCTCCTGGACATTCTTCCCAGGGTTCTTTCGGGTTTTTGGTGTCGGTGTGTGTGTGTGCGTTTTGTGGGTTTGGGGTTTTGTGAGGTTTGGGCCTACCATAGCCGCCGCCTACGCTACAATAGGTCTAAGTGCTGTGTAAGTGCACTGAACCTCTGCTCGCCCAGACCACGGCTCTCTATGGGCTTGATATGGGTTGATTTTCCGTGATGTTGTGGGGTGCCAGGATGAGCCTTCCATGTGCATTCTCACTTTGCCGACTCTTCGAACCGTGTTCGAGTGTGAAGCGAAAAGCTCTGAAGCCCCAAGCCGCCTCCACCCCAGACTGAATCTCTACGTGTCGGATCGACTTGACGGTGTGT